TCTCCGCCTCCTCCGCTCCTTCCTCCTCCGCCTCCGCCTCCGCCTCCTCCTCCTCCTCCTCCGCCTCCTCCTCCTCTTTCTCCTCCTCCTCCTCCTCCTCCTCCTCCTCATCCTCCTCCTCCTCCTCCTCCCCTCTTCCTCCCCCACCTGCTGGTAGTGGTGCTGGTAATGGATGGATGCATCCTCTCACTCTGCACGACCCCCTCTACATCGCTGTATCGCTTAGCGGCCCCATGTCTGCCGACGTGGCCGAAGCGCGGCCGCGCGCCGAGCGCCCGCAGCCGAGCGCCGAGCGCCCGTTGCGCGGGGGGGCGCCCGACCCCAGCCCGCGGACCACACACACACACACTTTCCGTCGGCGGCTGGGCAGAGGCACTGCGCTGGCGAGGGGACGTGAGTGGATGCACGAAGCGCGAATGATGCCGCAGTGCACGGGGCTCCAACCGCACACACGGGGGGCGCCCGCCGAACGAGGGAAAGGGGGGAGGACACCTCCAGGGCTGACGAAGAGGGAGAGGGCGGGCAGGGGCCACGAGGGGACACACGAGGCGCGGGCGTAGGGCTACGACCCCCCTCTGTTCCTCGTCCGGCCGATCCCTTCCCTGCCGCGGCTCCTTCTCATCCGCGTCGCCGGCGGACGCGAACCGCTTCAGCGCCTCTCGGCCGAGGAGGGACCGAAGAGGGCGAGGAGGAGCTCAGAGAGCAGGGCTGGCGGGCTGTAGAGTCCAGAGGAGGTTGCGCGATAGGACGATCTGCCAGTGAAACCGAGGAGCGAAACGATCGATGCCATAGTTGCAACATCCATTTGAGCCAACCGCGCATGAGAAGAAGCCGAACTCTATTATACACCGACGCTTTCTCCGGCGCCGCATCGAAATTCGAATGGGAGAGCGGATCCTGGTGTACACGGGATCCTGGTGTATACATGTTTCGTCGTACCGAAGGGAAACGGGGAAAAAAGCATGCACCACACCACCCCGACGTCGTCCCCGCCCCTCGAAAAGTCCGGGGATTGAAAGACAGCCTGACACTGGTATTGCATATGCTCCAATTTCCGACATGAAGCACACACTTCGTGACTTAACACACTTGCGCTGCACGTTGCACGCCGACAGGCATGAGGTCATATGATCGAAAACCCCCTCACACTCGACCGAGATCCAGTCGCAAAGCGTGCCGTCGGAGTGACACCTGACACCGTGCCAGCATAATATATGTTACAGCAGCTGGAGCAGCGCCCAGCAATGGTTTGAAGACGCACGCAGCGAAGCTACCTCAGCAAAGACAAATTGAGCTGAACTGAACTGCAGAAACACTGTCACCTCTCATTATCTTGCTGCACGGCTTGATTAACGCAGCGTGAACGCGCCGTGTGAAGTTCACGAGTGTCATCCCAAGTGGCTCCATTGCAAGACTTGGTGCGGGGTGGATGCGCACGATACCTGGTGAGCACCAGGGCATCAACTGGCCTTGAGCTTAAAGCAACGTGTCCGTAGTCTGCCAATCACATTCACGATATACCTGTCGCTGGCCAGGACAAGATCGTGCCTGCCTGTGAACAAGTGTTGGTTGCTATGATGCATGTGACTGTTCGTAATGCCTCGGCTGGCATCTTAGTTACCGAGTCCGCGGCATTATCATGCTTTCCTAGCGTAACTAGTCGTACGCCTCCTCTTCTCACATTCCCCTGAAGCCCTAACTGGTATACTGCAATGTATCTCGCTTTCAGCGAGCAAGAGCAAGCGCTGCGCTATCGCCACTAAGTTTGTTCTCATGCCGTTCTCACCTTCGAAAACTCTCAACACTGGCTGCAGTTCTAACCCTACCGATCCTCCTTGGGCCATGCCGCAGTACTCAGCCTTCCCAGAGAAGAACCAATAATACTGTGAGTGGTGCTCCAGGATGTTACGATATGCTTGCCCCACCAAACGTCTCATCCGCGTGTTGATTTGCGCGACCTTTTTATATCCAACATTGTCGGTGCCAGTCCAGGCCGTTAACTCCTGGGGCATATCCTGGTAGGAATAGTAAGTCACACTTGGGCCGTCTTGGGGCTCCCTGGGCTGTGTTCAAGCACTCTTGAGCTATCTTGGGAGCCTCTGAGGACGTCATGGCAGCCTCTTCGCCGCCGTTGGAGCTCTCTCGGGCCGTCTGGGGGCCGTCGTGGGCCGCCTCAGGGTGGGAGGATCCTGGGGCCATCCTGGGCCGACGGAAACCCGACAATTTGAGGCCAAAATCCGACTAAAACAAACGACACATCAATGTTATGTGCCTCTTGAGGTCCTCTTGGATTTCTCTTGGGCCGTCTTGAAGCCCAGAGGGCCTTCTTAAAACGCTCTTGGACGATCTTGGGGCCCTCTTCGGCCTCTTCTCAGGCATCTCTTAGAGCGTCCTCGAGATGTTTGAGGCCATCCTGGAGGTCTTTTGAGCCTTCTCGGGGACATCTTGACCCTTCTTGGGGAGAACTGGGCCCGTCGTGGCCCAAAGTAGCTAGGCCGTGCTACATGCAACTGCCACCCCCATCGCCCCTCCCCTGGAACACCTCCCTAAAAGAACTGTTCGCCCCAACTGAACGTCATCACTCGCACCTTGCTCTTTCCGTCACCAAGGCCGGCACGGAAACGGAAAGAGCGACGCAGCAAACTTGCACGAGAAGGCGCATGGCACCGTCCGCTCTTGGGAGCCTCGGTGTTCAGAGCCCCTTAAGCCATCGGTCATCCTCGGAGCCTTAGCGCTCAAAGCTTTTGACATCACCTGTTGCTCTTGAGAGAATGCTCGGCCCTCTTGGAGCGCCCTTGGGCTGTCTTGGGGATCTCTTAGGCTGTCTTGGGAGCCTCTGGCCCTCTTGAGGGCCCCTTGGTCGCTCTTGGGGATCACCTCGGCCGTCTTGAGAAAGAGAACGGGGAGACTTGATGGATCCCTTCCTGCCCCGCTTCCCCCCTGCCCTGGAACCCCTCACCAGAGGGCTGCTCGCCCCACCCAGAACGTCATCATTCGTACCTCCCTCGCTCTTTCCGTCACCTAGCGCACCCGCCCCCAGCCTGGACCCGACCCTTGGGGCTGACGCCCTACCTTGAAAGGAACCGCGTAAACGCTTGTTCCGTCACCTGTCTGGCACGGGAACGGAAAGCGTTCTTACTGTCAAAAGGTAGCCGGCTTGTCGCGCCTTTGGGCTTGTTGCGAGCCCGCTTCAGAGAACAGATCCTCCCCTCTTTCCCTTCCGTGCCGCCCTCGTTGACTCATCGGCCTCCTCCTCCTCTTCATCTTCCTTCACCCTGCCCTCCTCCTCCTCCTCCTCCTCCTCCTCCTCCTCCTCCTCCTCCTCCTCCTCCTCCTCCTCCTCCTCCCCTTCCTCCTGCTCCCCCCCGCTCGAGCAGGGGGGTGGCCTCCTCCCCCTCGGTCAGCCGGCGCTCCCTGGCCATGCTGCGCTCCGTGTGCGAACGCTCGTGGTCGTCCTGGGGGGGAGGGCGACCAGCGGGAGGGCGGCTGCCTGGACGAGCAGGAGGAGGAGAAAGGGCAGGAAGGGGGGGGATGGCGGGGGGGACGGGCCAAGCGAGCTCGCACCAACATCCGACACCCTGCCCCTCGCACCCATCCCTCCCCACTGCGCTGAATCATTCACAAACTGCCGTCACTGGGGTCTCCAAGAGGACCTCGATGCCCAAGTGGCAGTTGCCAGATCTGACCAATCGTCCGCTGCGCTGTACGCAGGAGGACGAGGTGGAGGAGGAGGAAGAGGAGGAGGCAGCACCGGCAGGAGCGGGAGCAGGATGCGGATGAGGCGGACGAGGACGAGGGTGGTAGGCCAGCGAGGAGAAGCAGGAGTAGGAGCAGGAGGAGCAGGAGGATCAGGGGGAGGTGGAGGAGGGGAGAAGGTGGGCGGCAACGACGAGGAGCGAGTAGCATTCCGATGTGCGGCCCACGCTGAGTGGGAGCGCCCTTCTGAACAACTGCAGCAACGCGCGGATCCTGAAATATGGCCAACGCCGCAGAGGGAACATTCCGTTTTTGAACGTCCCGATCGAAAACATGATCGACCCACGGACCCGGAAAGGGCTTTAAGCTGCGGGGCGTTGAATCTGTTCAAGGCAGCTAGTTACGGCGATATGCAATGACAATGCTGAAGATACCGATGGTGACGATAACGCGCCACGGGCTGCGATGTGCTGTGCTGCGCCGCCCGATATGCCGTGCTGAGCCGTGCTGCGCTGAACTGCGCAGATGCAAGCCGATTTGAACTGAGCTCTACTCGGTTGCATTGTGGATCAACTCGTTCTTGACGTCCCAGGCCTGACCGAACTGCCAACTATGGATCTTTAGCTCGAGCTACATGAACGCAAACCCCAGATCTGGTTGTAGTCGAAACTTGCGGGGCGATCAACCGGCTCGAGCTCAAGATCCAATGTACTTCCGAAACGGCACGAACCGACAGGGGGCGCAGGAAGCATAAGCGCGCCACGGGCAATGCCAGGGGTGCACCAGGGGATGGACCAGGGGACGTGCCAAGGGACGTGTCATGGGGGCGGTACCATGGACGTGTCAGGGACCTGCCACGAGATGCGCCAAGGGGGCGCGCCATGGGGGCGTGCCAGGGGACGTCCTGCCAGGGCACGTGTCAAGGGACGCGTCAGGGGAAATGGCAAGGGACGCGCCAGGGGACACGCCAGGGGACACGCCACGGAACGGGCAGGGGATGCGCCACAGGACGAGCCAGGCAAGACGCCAGAGGACGAGCCAGGGAATGCGCCACGGGACGCGCCAGCGGACGTGCCAGGGGACACGCAGCAGTGAAGCGCCTGGGGGCATGCCAAGAAACGTGCCAAAGGACGTGCATGTGATGTGCCACGGAACGTGTCAGGGGACGCGCCGCACACGTGGCAGGGGACGCGCAAGACTGGGGACGTGCCAGGGGACGCGCCAAGGGGTGTGCCGCGCAACGTGCCAGGGGACGAGCCAAGGGACGACCCACCCTGCTCTGTCTTCTGCGCTGGATCCGCGTTTCCAGGGCCACGATCTCTTGTAATTTGCGTCCGCGCCACCAGCGCTACGACCCCTTGCTAACGACACTGCGCCCGAGCTTCCAGGGCCAAGATTCCTCTCACTGGTACCAGGCATGTTCCGCAGATGCAAGGCAGGCAGGAGAAGGAGGAAGGAGAGGAGGAGCATGGAGGAATCGAGGAGAGCAGGGACGCCTGGCTACATGCGTTGGCAGCCCCTCCTGGTCAAGGAGGGGACGGCCGCCAGCCACCTACACCACTAGAGGGTAAACCTCTAACTGGTGCTAGGCTGGGCCGTAAATCAGACCCGCACGGCGGAAACGAATACCGAGCACGACATGCTTGGCACGATTCCTGGCCGCGGGCGGGCGGCACAGCCGAACTGTGATCGCGGTGCCAGACGCCACCGCCCGTGACGTCTACGCACGACGGTACCAGGCCGCAGCAGCTGGCGAAACTGCCGGGACCTGGGCGCGGTGCGAACGCAGGCCTGCGTCGTGACGGGGCGGCCCAGGAGTTGGCTGAGCGAGCCGTCCTGGCCGCTGCCTGGGCCCGACGAAGGCATCTCGCGCCGAGTCCAACCCACAACAAGGGTCGGGTGCGCGGGCAATTTCGGGACGGAGGCCAGCCGTAGCGGCTAGGGCCTCCGCCATCGCGGGCAGCCGCCCCGACTCAAGCCTGAGCCGAAACAGCTGTGGACAAGCATGCCCTCAGGTAAACACTCGCACAAGGGACAATGGCCCGAAAGGCGAAGCACGGTTATCTTAGCAACTAGGGCCCAGGCGGTTGGAACTGGCCACCGAGCCAAGGGCAAGGCGCAGTTGTTTTCGAGACGCGGGCCCAGAAGGTGAAACGCGGTTGTCTTCGCACCACGAGCCCTGGCAGAGGGGTCCGGCCACGCAGCAACGACTGAGTTTCGGCCACAGTCGCAAGACAACCTCCTTAATGGCGGGTCCATTGCCGAATGTGCATCTGTGTCCCGTCACGAGGGCGCAGTGACAATTCAAAGGGGCCTGCCCCCCTACCCATAGCCCTTGAGGCTCAAATAGAAGCACACTGCATCCGCGCTCCCAGGGCCAGCGCCACGATCCCTCGCAGACGCCGCTGCGTCCGCGCTCCCAGGGTGCAACAATATCAAACGAATTGCACTGCGTCCGCGCTCCCAGGGCTGGGTCGGGCTTGTCCTCCTACAGGCGGATTTCGGAGAACAAATTTAAAATAGTCAAGAAATATTTACAAATAGTCAGAAATACTAGAAAAATCGTCCCCTGGCTATTTTTTGACTATTTTTTGATTTTCCTCCTGTAGAGGGACGCACCAGAATTAATCCCGGGGTCACGATCTCAGTCACGCCGCTGCGTCCGCGCTCCCAGGGCCACGATCCCTCGCACCGCGCTCCAAGGGCCACGATCGCTTGTAAATTGCACCGCCCCCGCCCGCCCCTCCCTGCAGTGGCTCGGGCGATCTCTGGGCCAGTCTCTTCATCTTTGGGCCTCCGGGGGCCAACCTCGGCCAACTTCGGCACTCTCCTTGGGAGTCGCGCGGACCGTCCTGGAGGCCCTGGGAGCCGGCGCAGCAGGCCCCCGGTCGGCCGAGTCCCTTGCTTCGCTCTTGTAGGCGACCGTCAACTTCTCGCCGCTCCGGGCGCAATGAGCGTCACGGGTGGCCCAAGACGCCCCCATAAGACCGGCCCAGGATGGCACACGATGGGCCTCGAGAAGGGCTCCAGGAGCGCTCTTCACCGTCGCACCGCCGGACACCAACCCCTTCAGCATGATCCCCAAAGCCCCCGAGAGGCTCAGCGGAGGCCCCAAGAGGGACGGAGATGCACCCAAGTGGGCCACAAGGCCCTTCAAGTTCTCCAAAACAAGCGTTTCGCTCGAGTCATCCTCGAGAATTCTGCGCGCAGGATGCGCCGTCCTCGAGCGGGCACGCAAAAAGTTAACACGTTGCAATCATTTGAAAGGAATCTGCGCAAAACGCTCCGCACCCTCTTTTTACAAGAGGGAATGGGGGATCTGCGGACCCCGTTAGGCATCAAGAACCCGAGATGGGGGGCACACTTTCCTCGAGCGGACATGTGCGAATTGTTTTTTTGACAATCTAAAATAAAACATTACCTCGTTTTTATCGACCTGAAATTCGCCAGCCCTCAAAGATGGCACCAGCTACAGATTACCATCCTGAAAGAGAACCCTGGGCCCACGCCCTTTCCAGGAACAAGCTCTTCATCCTCCTCAGGCGTCCTCGTCCTCCTCGTGGTTGCCCTCCAGGGCGCCCCACTCAGCGGAGTGGGCAAGAATCGGGACCTCCAGGTCCCCCAGCGGCTTTTCGTCCTTCAGCGCCTCCATCCCAAAGGTGAGCCTGGCAGGAACAGGATAGGGAGCAGGAGCAAGGAAGGAGAGACTGAGGAGGGAAGGAGGAGTCTTGAAGCAATGAAGCTGGGGCGCCCAACCTTGCTAGTGGACAGAGGAGGAGAAGGAGGAGGAGGAGGAGGAGGAGGAGGGAGGAGGGAGGAGGGAAGAGTACGACTGAAGGAGGGATGGGGAAGACGCAAATACTTGAGCAGCACACAACACAACGACTCGGGGGCGCCACTTATCAGCGGCACATCAAATCTTGCACAACGCCGGCCGGGCAGGAGAAGAAAGAGAAGTGGGGGGAGGAGGAAGAAGAAAGGGAGCAGCAGGACCGGCCTTCTCTCCCTGGAGCGGCTCGTGTCATCGGCGTGCCTCCGCTGGGCATCCTCCCCCTCCTCCTGCAGGGGCAGAGCGGAAATGACAGCACAGGGAACCCTCGGATGCCGCACGAGCTGCCGCGGAGGGCAAGGCATCGGAGTAAAACAGGTCCTGGACCCTGGGATCCGCACCCAGGACGGGCCTTCCATCCGAGTCGTTGTTTGACTGTCCTGGGGCCCAGGGAGGGCCCTGGGAGGCTCGATGCGTCGAAACGTGGGCGACCCACGAACCCAGGAAGGGATATAGACCTCCCAAGCCAACGCGCTGCATCCTGATCCTCGTCGTTGTCGCCCAACTTCACCTCCCCCTCGCCTCGCGCCACGTTGCTTCCAGACGTTGTCATTATCGCAGATATGCAAGCTCAATTTTAAACGAACGGACAACAAGTTTGCCCCTACCTGGAATCAAAAAAAACGACTCCAGAGTGACGTGCGGGGTCGTGCCAGGGCAACTGCAAGGGGACATGCCCAGGATGATGCCAGGGGACGTATCAGGGGACGTGTCCAGGGATGTGTGACGTGCCAGGGAGCGTACCAGGGGACGAGCCAGGAGACGTCCCAGACGTGCCAGGCCAAGAAACCCCCTCAGACGTCCCAAGAGGCCACCAAGAAGCGCCCAAGAAATATCCCAAGAGGCTCCGAGGGGCATGCAAGAGACCTCTGGCCCTTCTGCTTGCCCTCCTCCTCCTCCTCCTGCTCCTCGTTCCTCCTCGACCTTCTCTTCTTCCTCCTCCTCCTCCTCCTCTTCCTCATCCTCCTCCTCCTCCTCTGCCTCCTCATCCTCCTCCACCTCCTCCTCCTCCTCATCATCATCCTCACCATCCTCAACATCATCATCATCATCATCATCATCATCATCATCATCATCATCATCATCATCATCATCATCATCATCATCATCATCATCAGCATCATCATCATCATCATCATCATCAGCAGCAGCAGCAGCATCAGCATCAGCATCAGCATCATCATCATCACCACCACCACCACCATCATCATCATCATCATCATCATCATCATTCTTCATCATCACCATCATCATCATCATCATCATCATCATCATCATCATCAGAATCATCATCATCATCATCACCATCATCATCACCATCATCATCATCATCATCATCATCATCATCCTCATCATCATCATCATCATCATCATCATCATCATCATCATCATCATCATCATCATCATCATCATCATCAGCATCATGATTATCATCATCATGTTCATCCTCCTTCTCCCCACTCCCCCATCGATCCATCCAGCCTCCTCCTGTTCCTCCTCCCTCCTTCGCACGGTTCGGCCGTTCCCCTCTTTGCTCCCGCACTTCCCTGATGACCTCAACCCGCCTGGACATAGTTTTTGGATGGGCTGGTGGGGATATTTTTTTTGTCGCGGTTGCGGCGAGCGCGCCAGCAGCGTCGGCAGAGTCGCTCGGGCCGCGGGCGCCCGAATTGCCGGCGCGCCGGCTGGTGGGGATACTTTTTGGTCTGCGGGCTCGCGAAGCACGTCGAAAGCCGTCCGATCACTAGCCGGGCCGCGACTAGGCAGCAAGAAAGAGAGGGGCAAGCGAAGCGAGCGCGCGGGCAGCCACTCAAAAGTGCACCAGGAGCGGCACTCCCAACCCGGTGGCGTGGAAATCCCGGTGGCGACCATCAAGTAGGCGCAGCCAAAACGGCGCGGCGGCGCGACCAGCTGGTGGGTATACGCGAAACGTCTAGAATTAAGTGGGTCCGCGCTCTCAGGGCAACGGTCCCTTGTCAAGTACGCTGGATGCCCACTCCGAAGGCAAGACTTCCCTAGTAAATTACGCTGTGTCCGCGAACCCAGGGCCACGATCCACAGAAAATGACGCTGGGTTCGCGCTCCCAGGGCAACGACCCATCGCAGTTTTACAGGAGTCACGCTCCTAAGACCACGGTCCCTCGTAATTACGCTGGATTCCTGCTCCGGAGGCAAAGGTCCCTAATTAATTGAGCTGTGCCCGCGCCCCCAAGGCCACAATCCCTCGTGGATTGCGCTGCTTCCGCGCTCTCGAGGCAACGATCTCTAGCAAGTTACGCTGCGCCCGCGCTCCCAGGGTCACGAAGCACCGCGCGGAGGGTGCCCCAAAGAGCCCCCCCCCTCCCCAGAGCAGGAACCAATACTGTTCTGCATTGGGATACGTGTTCGGGGGGGGGGGGGGGGGCGGCGTCATTTCCTGAAAACCAAGCGCTGGACCCAGAGCTGCGAATCCTCATGATTTGCGCTGCGTCTGCGCGCCCAAGGCCGCGATCCCGCATGATTTACGCTGAATTCACACTCTCAAGGCCACGGTTCCTTGCACATTGCTCTGGAGTCGCGCTCCCAGGGCAGCGACCTCTAGCAAATTACCCCGGATTCACGCTCCAGGGCCACGATCCCTCGTAAATTACATTGGGTTCGCACTCCGGAAGCAACGATCCATCGTAAAGTACGCTGGGTTCGTGCTCTCAGGGCCGCGATCCCCCGTAAATCACACTGCGTCCACGACCTCAGGGCCACAATCCCTCGTCAGCTGACTTCGTCCACGCCCCCAGGGGCAGGATCCCTGATAGATGACACTGTCTCCGCCCCCCCAGGGCCAGGATCCATTGTAAATTACGCTGCGTCCGCGGCCCCAGCGCCACGATCAATCGCAAATCACAGAGCATCTGCGCTCCCGGGGCCCCGATCCCTGGTAGATTACGCTGCGCCCGCAGGCCACGATGCTGATTACACTGCGCTGCTTCCGCGCTCTCCGGGGCCGCGCTCTCTCGTGAACCTCGCCGAGGTCCGCGCCCCCGGCGTCTCGATCCCCTGTGAGCTACACCGTGCCCGCGCTCCCCCAGGACCACCCGGGGCATCCCGGGACGCCCGCCCGGGCCGCTCGAGTTCTGCAAGACAAGCGTTTCGCCTCGAGACGTCCTCGGATACTTCGGCGCGCAGGGCGCGCCATGCTCGAACGGGCAGTATCAGTTCCTGGCAAATTTCAAAGCCTCCACACCTCGCGTTTGATCGCGGATTCTACGCAAAACGCTCCGCACCCCGCTTTCCCCAAGAAAAAAAATGTGTCTGCGGACTCCCGTTATTCATCGAGGATCCGAAATGGGGGGCACATGTTCCTCAAGCGGGCACGCGCGAAACGCAATGTTTCACCAAAACAGGAACTGCACCTTGCTACTTCTCGCAAATCGTTTCGCCGACCCACCTCAAGTAAGACCCGAGGGTAAAACCTACGAAAAGAAAAAGAAAACCCTGGGCCCACGCCCTTTCCAGGAACCAGCGTTTTGCACAAGATGGAACTTTACATAATTTCATCGAGCGGAAATCCGCTCGCCCGACGCGAGCTTGGCACCGGGAACAGATTACCATCCTAAATGAAATACCTGGGTTTACGCCCTTTCCGAGAAAAGGTGACTCTCCATCTGGGGTCGGTGCGACGTCGAGAGTACTCGCGCGGCTTAGACCTATCAGAAATTGTCTGGCCCCTGTCTGCGGCCTAGACCTCAAGCGTCGTGTTTCCGTCCAATCCCGGTGTGCTTCTGCAGCTGCGGCTTCCAGGGACCGCTTTCGGGCCGCCAGACCGTCAAAGAACGATCCAGGATGAACAAAAACCATCCCAGGCACTAGACCGAGGCCAGCGGGGCCCACGGAAGGAACAAATCGCAACATGTGGGGTCCTGGGATCCGCTTGGCCGACCCTGAAGGCCCTGGGTATCGCTTCTCGGCGTTGCCCTCTTTTGGAGAGCACCATCCATCTCCGCTGGTGTCCGCCGACCTTCCAGCGGATGCGGCCGGCAAAGCCACCATCGCTTCACTCCCGCCAGCTTCCGCAGGCCTTCCGCCATCTTCCGCCGAGGGCGAGATACCAACGCTCTGATACCCCGAAGACGAGGCCCTTTCTGAAGCGCCCCATTCCCAAGTGGTGACCAGACCACCGGAGCCGATCGAGACTTCAAATCCTCGTGCGGCTTGGAAGTATCGTTTCTGCTGGCCCCCTGTCCTCGGAGTCGCCTCTGTCCCCGCATCCAGCCCACTCGGTCTTCTCGGCTACCACTGGCACGTCGATGTCGCCCATGGTGACCTCCATGTCCCGTATGGAGGCGCCTCGCGTAAGCCGTCGCTCTCTCCTGCACGGAGCCCAGAAGCAACACATCGGACTGCAGCAGATCCGCTGGGTGATCGGAAATGGCCAGGTAAGAAGGTCTAGACGATTCGCGCATCCCCACTAGCCCACCCAGAAACGATGCCCAGGCGAACTGTCGGAGAAAAGGAACATGATCGAGCTGCGAGGCATGGGAACGTTTCCAAGCACCTCAATTGGGCGATGGGTAGTGGCAGCGCTGAAGATATCAATGGTGATGATATTGTGCAAAGGGCTGAGCTGTGCTGCTCTTCGCTGTGCCGCGCCGCATAGTGGCGTACCAGGGGACGCGCCACGGAACGTGCCAGTGGAAGTGCCAGGGGACGTGCCAGGGGACATGCCACGTTGAACGTTGCCGTGCGCTATTGCATTGTGGATCCAGCCGTCCTTGGCGTCAGAATCCTGACCGAACTGACTTGGATCTTAAGCTCGAGCTGCCTGAACGCATAGCTCGGGCTAGTTGAAATCGAAGCGCGCGGGGCGCTCGACCAGCACCCAAGTGTATTCACGCCTTTCCCACACTGAAGCGTCACAGACCCACGTGTTGCCTCGCTTGTCCCGCTCTGGAAGTTGGGAGCCCACGTGTCTTCACGCTTGTACGGCTCGGGAGCATCAGGAACCCACGTGTCTTCACGCCTGTCTCGCTCTGGGGCATGAAGAACCCATGAGTTGTCATGCGAATGTCGGTTCGGGGCGGTAGGAACCCACATGTTTTCACGCTGGTCCCGCTTTGGGGCGTCAAGGTCCCACGTGTTACCACGCTTGTCCCGCCCTGGGGCGATAAGAACCCACCTGTTTTCACGCGTGTCCCGCTCTGGGGCGTTGAGGACCCACGTGTTTTCACGCCTGTCCCGCTCTGAAGAACACGTGTTTTCACCTCTGCCCCGCTCTGGAACGTTAGGCACCCACGTGTTTCCACACATGTCCCGCTCTGGGGCGTTGGGAACCATGTGTTTCCACGCTTGTCCTGAACCCACATGGCTTCCATGTTCCCGCGCTGGGCCGTCTGAAACCATATGTTGTCAGGAGCGTTGGGAACCCACGTGGTTTCACGCTTGGCCCGCTTTGGGGCGTCAAGAACCCACGTGTCTTCACGCTTGTCCCGCTCGGGAGCATTAGGAGCCCACGTAATATCACGCTTGTCCCGCTCTCGGGCGTTAGGAACCCACGTGGTTTCACGCTTGTCCCGCTCTGGGGCGTTAGGAACCCACGTGTCTTCACGCTTGTCCTGCTCGGGAGCATTAGGAGCCCACGTAATATCACGCTTGTCCCGCTTCGTGCCTCAGGGCCCCACGTGTTGTCACGCTTGTCCCGCTCTGGGGCGTTAGGAACCCACGTGTCTTCACGCTTGTCCCGCTCGGGAGCATTAGGAGCCCACGTAATATCACGCTTGTCCCGCTCTTGGGCGTTAGGAACCCACGTGGTTTCACGCTTGTCCCGCTCTGGGGCGTTAGGAACCCATGTGTCTTCACGCCTGTCTCGCTCTGGGGCGTTAGGAAGCAATGTTCTCGCGCTTGTCCCGCTCTGGGGCGTTAAGAACCATGTGTTCTCACGCTTATCCCTCTATGGGGCGGTAGGAACCCACGTGTTTTCAGGCTTACCCCGCTCTGGGGCATTAGGACCACACGTGTTGTCCCGCTCGTCCCGCTATGGGGCGTTAGGAATTGATGTTTTCACGCTTGTCCCGCGCTGGGGCATTAGGAGCACATGTGATTTCACGGTTGTCCCGCTCTGGTGGGTTAAGCACCTTGTGTGTTCACGCTTGTCCCGCTCTAGGGCGCTCGCTAGGGCAACGTATGGGAACACTCGTAAAACACTGATGATTCGAGCCCCAGGAGAGGGCCACTCTATTGGACAAAACGCGAGTTTCGCTGGAAATATCCTCAACACATTCTGCAAAAGAAACGCTTCGCTCGAGACATCCGCAACAAACGAAAATTGTCACGATACTGTTCGATTTACCAGTCGGAACTTCAGACACCCGCGTTTCGCTCGGGACATCCTCAAAAATTAATCCACCGGCCCACCTCGACCTCGTTATTGATAGCAATTACCCCAGTGCGACCCTACCTAGAAGTTGGAGCCCCTAGGAAAGCAGCATTAGTTGCTATGCGATGCTATTACATGCCATGCTATGCTGCGCTATGCTATGCTATGATATGGTATGCGATGCTGCGCTATGTTATGATATGCTATGATATGCTAAACTAAGCTATGCTATGTCATGCTGCGATGCGTTATGCTATGCTACGCTATGCTATGACATGCTGTGCTATGTTATGCTATGCTAAGTTGCGCTATGATATGCTATGACATGTTATGATATGATCTGATATGCTATGATATGATATGTTATGTTGCGCTATGCTATGATATGCTATGATATGCTATGCTATGCTTGGCTATGGTATGCTATGCTATGATATGCTAATGCAGCGCTGCGCTATGCTAAGCTAAGCTAAGCTAACCCTCTAGGCAGAGCCTAGGTAGGGACTTACACCCATGCTAAGTATCCATGCTACGCTATGCTATGCTATGCTGTGCTCTGCTATGCTAAAGCTCAGCGAAGCTAAGATGAAGGTAAGCTAAGCTAAGATGAACCTGAGCTAAGATGAAGCTAAGCTAAGCTAAGATGAAATAAGCTAAGCTAAGATGAGATAAGCGACGCTAAGCTAAGGGGACTTAACTGGGGGAACCGCGGGGCGGATACTGGGGGAACCGCCCGGGGCGCTTTCCACTGCCCGGCCCCTTTAAGCCCAGAGAGTAAGAACCCTTCTAGGCAGAGCCTAGGTAGGGAAAAAGAATCCGCCGTCCCACCTCGATCTTGGCAATGGGGACAAGTTATCCCAGTGCGACCCTACCTAGGAGTTGGAGCATCTAGGAAAGCAACATCTACATCTACACCGACAGCTACATTAACATATACACCTGCATCTACATCTACATCAACACCAACAGCGAGACTCACATCTACATCTACATCTACACCTACATCTGCACCTACATCTACGTCTACATCTACATCTACATCTACATCTACACATACATCCACATCTACACCTACACCTACATGTCTACATCTACATCTACAGCTGCAGGCTGTTCAGCACTGCTCGCGGCTCCTGCAAGAGCTGCAGGCTGGTCAGCACTGCAGGTTCGGCTTTGCGTTGCTTGTGATGTGCTTTGCTGTTGCTGCTGTTGCTTTGCCTTTGCTTTGCTGCTATGCTATGCTATGCTATGCTGCACTGTGCTATGCTATGCTATGTTATGCTTTGCTATGCTGCGCTATGCTATGCTATGCTATGCTAGGGTACGCTCGGCTGCGCTGTGTTAAGCTAGGCTATGCTATGCTATGCTATGCTGCGCTATGCTATGCTGCGCTATGTTATGATATACTATGATATGCTGCGCTATGCTATGCTGTGTTAGGCTATGACATGATATGATATGATATGATATGCTGCGCTGTGCTATGCTATGCTGAGCTATGATATGCCATGCTACACTATGATATGCTAGGATATGATATGCTGTTATATGATATGCTATGCTGCGCTGTGCTATGATAAGGAATGATATGTTATGCTATGCTATGATATGCTATGCTATGCTATGCTATGGTATGCTATGCTATGCTGCGCTATGCTGTGCTGTGCTATGCTATGATATGATATGTGATGCTATGCTATGCTGAGCTATGCTATGCAATGATATGATATGATTGGCTATGCTATGCTATGCTATGCTGTGCTAATGCTGCGCTGCGCTATGCTGCGCTGCGCTATGCTAAGCTATGCTAAGGTAAGCAAAGCTATGCTAAGCTAAGCTAATCTAAGCTAGGCTAGGCTAAGCTAAGCTAAGCTAAGTTAAGCTAAGCTAAGCTAAGATAAGCTAAGCCAAGCCAAGCTAAGCTAAGCTGACTACCTACCAGACCACCCCAACCCAACCCGAAGACCCGAATTTGACCCGAATTTCGGGTTGGGGGGGTACGGGCTCCATATGTCTTTTTCCAATGTTCCCCGACCCCCCCCAACTGGAAATGGAGGGCAAATTGATGCCTTCGGGTTGGGTTGGGGTGGTTTGGTGGGTGGTGATAAGCTAAGCCAGGCTAGACTAAGCTAAGCTAAGCTAAGCTAGGTTAGGCTAAGCTAAGCTAAGCTGAGCTGAGCTAAGCTAAGCTAAGCTAGGTTAAGCTAAGCTAGGCTAAGCTAAGATGAGATGAGCAATGATAAGCCAAGGGGACGTAACTGGGGGAACCGCAGGGCGGATACTGGGGGAACCGCCCGGGGCGCTTTCCACTGCCCGGCCCCTTTAAGCCCAGAGAGTAAGAACCCTTCTAGGCAGAACCTAAGTAGGGAATGTTCTACTAAAAGAGAACCCTGGACCGACGCCCGTTCCGGGAACATGATCGACCCACGAACCTCGAAAGGGATTTAGACACGCGAAGCATGGTTACGTGTTCAAGACACCTGATTGGGCGGCAGTGCTGAGGATATCGATCGTGATGTACAATGCCCGAGATTGTGCTGTACTGTGCCGTGCTGGAATGAGATGTATCATGTCGCGATGAATTGTGTTGTGCTCTGTAGTGTGGTGGATCAAGTCGTCCTTGGTACCCGAATCCTGATCGAACTGATACGGATCTTAAGCTCGAGCTGCCTGAGCGAATGGCTGGCCAAAAGCTGGTTGCAATCGAAACGTGTTCGACGCTCAATCAGCTCGAGCTCAAGATCCGATTTAGTTCCGAAGCGGGACGAGACGACACGGAGCGCAGTGCGCATGGACGCTCCGCGGCATGTGCCAGGGGCGCACGTGTCAGGGAACGCGGCAAGGGACGCGCCACGGAACGGGCAAGAAGTCAGGGGAGAACTTTCACGCTTGTGCAACCCTGGGGCGTCAAGAACCCACGCGTGGTCACGCTTGTCCCGCTCTGAGACGTTGGGAACCCGTATGTTTTCACGCCTGTCCCGCTCTGGGGTCTGAGGCCCCCACGTGTTTTCACGCTCGTCTCTCTCTGGGGCATCAAGAACCTGTGTTTTCACGATTGTCCCGCGTATGTTCACGCTTGTCCCGCCCTGGGGCGTCAGGAACCGTGTGTTCTCGCGCTTGTCCTGCTCTGGGGCGTTAGGAACCCACGTGTTTTCACGATTGTCCCGCTCTGGAGAATTATATATAAGCCCACGTGTTGTCACGCTTGTCCCGCGCTGGGGCATTAGAAACTCACGCGTTGTCACGCTTGTCCCGCTCTGTGGCGTCAGGAGCCCATCTGTGTTTCACGCTTGTCCCGCTTTGGGGCGTTAGGAACCTATGTGTGTTTCACGCTCGTCCCGCTCTGGGGCGTCAGGAACCCAAGTGTTTTCACGCTCGTCTCGCTCTGGGGCGTTCGGAACACATGTGTTTTCACGTTTGTTCCGCTCTGGGGGCGATCGCTAGGACAATGTATAGGATTCGAACCCCAAGAGAGGGGCAATCTATAAGACAAAACATGCGTGTCGCTCGAGACATCCTCAACACATTCTGCAAAATAATCGTTTCGCGCGAAACATCCGCAACAAACGAAAATGGTTACCTTACACTATATCTTATCAATCCGAATTTCAGACACCAGCGTTTCGCTCGAGACATCCTCAAACATTTATCCGCCGGCCCACCTCGAACTCGTTGTTGTTAACAAAAAGAATCCACCGGCCAACCTCGAACATGGCACAGGGGACAGCAGATTTACAAACTATAAGCACCTGGGCCGACGCCCTTTCAATAAAAGAAAATAATTCCAAGGCGAGCTGTTGGATAAAGGGAAACAGGTACTGGTGGCACCAGGGGACAACAGGTGGTAACTTTAGAGATCTGTGGGAGTCCCTCGAGTCTCTCTTTCTGGGGTCTTCCGACGGCAGCCCTCGCCCTAGACGTGGAGAGTGCCTGAGACCCGGTAGACATGACGCAATGGTACCAGCGGGCGCGCAGCAACAGCAAATTGTCCAGGTGTTCCCCCCATCGATCCTCCGGTGCACCTCTTCGCTGAATCGCTCGAGGGCGCCCTCGTCCTCGTCGGAATGCCCCTCCGCGCCCACCCACTCGGTCCCCTCGGCTACCACTGGCACGTCGGCGTCGCCCATGGTGACCTCCATTTCCCGTATGGAGGCGCCTCGAGTAAGCCGTCGCTCTCTCCTGCACGGCGCCCAGTTGCAACACATCGGACAGCGGCAGATCCGCTTGGAAATCGGTAGACGCTTCGCGGATCTCCACCAGCTCGCCTAGAAACGATGCTCAGGCGAACTGTCGGAGAATGCGAAAGAGATACAAATGAAACCAGGGGACAACAAGTGGTGTAACTTTAGAGATCTGTGGGAGTCCCTCGAGTCTCTCTCTGGGGTCTTCCGACGGCAGCCCTCGCTCTAGACGTGGAGAGTGCCTGGGACCCGGAAGAAATGACGCAATGGTACCAGCGGGCGCGAAGCAACAGCAAATTGTCTAGGCATTCCCCCCAGCGATCCTCCGGTGCACCTCCTCGCTGAATCGCTCGTGGGCCACCTCGTCGTCGGAATGGCCCTCCGCGCCCACCCACTCGGTCCCCTCGGCTACCACTGGCACGTCGGCGTCGCCCATGGTGACCTCCATTTCCCGTATGGAGGCGCCTCGAGTAAGCCGTCGTTCTCTCCTGCACGGCGCCCAGTTGCAACACATCGGACTGCGGCAGATCCGCTTGGAAATCGGTAGACGCTTCGCGGATCTCCACCAGCTCGCCTAGAAACGATGCTCAGGCGAACTGTCGGAGAATGCGAAAGAGATACAAATGAAACCAGGGGACAACAAGTGGTAACTTTAGAGATCTGTGGGAGTCCCTCGAGTCTCTCTCTGGGGTCTTCCGACGGCAGCCCTCGCTCTAGACGTGGAGAGTGCCTGAGACCCGGAAGAAATGACGCAATGGTACCAGCGGGCGCGAAGCAACAGCAAATTGTCTAGGCATTCCCCCCAGCGATCCTCCGGTGCACCTCCTCGCTGAATCGCTCGTGGGCGACCTCGTCGTCGGAATGGCCCTCCGCGCCCACCCACTCGGTCCCCTCGGCTACCACTGGCACGTCGGCGTCGCCCATGGTGACCTCCATTTCCCGTATGGAGGCGCCTCGAGTAAGCCGTCGTTCTCTCCTGCACGGCGCCCAGTTGCAACACATCGGACTGCGGCAGATCCGCTTGGAAATCGGTAGACGCTTCGCGGATCTCCACCAGCTCGCCTAGAAACGATGCTCAGGCGAACTGTCGGAGAATGCGAAAGAGATACAAATGAAACCAGGGGACAACAAGTGGTGTAACTTTAGAGATCTGTGGGAGTCCCTCGAGTCTCTCTCTGGGGTCTTCCGACGGCAGCCCTCGCTCTAGACGTGGAGAGTGCCTGGGACCCGGAAGAAATGACGCAATGGTACCAGCGGGCGCGAAGCAACAGCAAATTGTCTAGGCATTCCCCCCAGCGATCCTCCGGTGCACCTCCTCGCTGAATCGCTCGTGGGCCACCTCGTCGTCGGAATGCCCCTCCGCGCCCACCCACTCAGTCCCCTCGGCTACCACTGGCACGTCGGCGTCGCCCATGGTGACCTCCATTTCCCGTATGGAGGCGCCTCGAGTAAGCCGTCGCTCTCTCCTGCACGGCGCCCAGTTGCAACACATCGGACTGCGGCAGATCCGCTTGGGGAGAAAGGGACACAGGTACTCGGGACACCAGGGGGGAAATGGGTTCAACTTTACAAATCTCTGGCAGTCCCTCGAGTCTCTCTTTCTGGGGTCTTCCGACGGCTGCCCTCGCTCTAGACATGGAGAGTGCCTGAGACACGATAGACATGACGCAAGGGTACCCTTGATGCTCCACAGTAGCCCTACGAATCAGACCCGACCACACCGCGTGAGTACTCTGCTTCCCGGAGCGCGGTGGCAGGCATGTGCGGCTGCGCAACTGGATCCGATTGATGAGGGCCTGGTCCCTCCCGGGTGCATGCCTCAACTGGCGCGCACATCGGACATCCCTCGGTTGCGGAAGTCAATAAGGGTCTGGTCTCTCACAGGTGCATGCCCTAAGTGGCGCGCCCATCGAATGTCCCTCCGTCCCTCCTCCTCTCTTAGGAGGTCGCGGGGAGGTCGCGGGGGACAGCGGAAAGAGCAAGGACGGGCGCGCAGCAGCAGCCGCTGCAGGTTGTCCAGGTGTTCTCCCCATCGATCCTCCGGTGCACCTCCTCGTTGAACTGCGCCTGGGCGCCCTCTCCGTCCGAAGAGTCCCCCTCGTGATGAGCCCACTCTGACTTTTCGGGCAAGAGGTCCACGTCCTTGTCTCCATGCGGCCTGCCTGACAGCAGCTCCTGCTCACCGTGGGTGAGGCGCCTCTCCCGCTTCCTGAAGGTGTTCTCCGCGTGGCGGAGCTTGCTCTGCTCATCGTGCGCGGCGTCGTCCCCAGAGTCGCTGCCGTGCTGCCACTCCTTCGGGGACGGAGGAGGTGCACACCACATCGCCATGGACCCCAAGTGGCTCGGGGCCCCGTGCAGCTCGGAGAGGCCGCGCCCGAGGAATCTGATCGCTCGGCTGGGGCGGGAGAGAGGATGCGGCGGCGGCGGCGGCGGGCGGCGGTGACAGCGGCGGCGGGAAGTTCCTTTCTGGATACCTCTCCCCGTGCATCCCGCAAAACCACGGTCCACGAATCTGATCGCAACCTGGTGGCGAGGGCGGTGCTGAGGGTGCTGCTTCAGGTGCTGGCACTAGCGCTGGTGGCAGCGGCAGCCGCTATGCTGCTGGTATCGCTGCTGTTGTTTCTGGTGTTACTGATGGCACAATACGTCCCCCCCTCCAGTCCAGACCTGTGTGCAACTACACTTCCTTTGCCTTTCCTTGCAGGATACCCATCCGAGCTCATCACAGAAGCGTCATACCGAACCAAGAATACTACAGGTCGGTGGGTGTGAAGACGGCAGCGGTGTGTATGTGTGTGGTGTGGTGTGGTGTGGTGTGGTGTGGTGTGGTGTGGTGTGGTGTGGTGTGGTGTGGTGTGGTGTGGTGTGGTGTGGTGTGGTGTGGTGTGGTGTTGAGCGGTGTGGTGTGTTGTCTTATATTGTGTTATGTTGTGTTATGTTGTGTTGTGTTGTGCTGCGCTGTGTTTGTGTTTGTGTTTGTGCTCGTGTTCGTGTGTTATTGTGCTTTCCTCACTCTCCCAGTCCTTGCCCTCTGCGTGCACCTCGACATCCACATCGCCGATCATTGCATGGCGCTCGAGCGCATCCGCGCCCAAGGTGAGACGCCGCTCGCGAGCGTGGAATGTTTGTTGTGCATGCCGGGTTGACCTTGGAGGTACAGAGAAAGCAACGAGGCACGTCGTTGTCATCGTCATCGTTACCCCCATCGCCATCATTAACATTGTGTGTTTATCACATGGCCATCACGATCATCATCGTCTTGAAGGTCATTTTCTTCATCACCACCATAATCATCAGCCTGGCCACTATCAGCATCGTCATCATTGTCAGCATTCCTGCTCGCCTCTACGGCACGAACCTATGCAATGCGAATGAGACACAGCGGTGACAACACCAAACCGCCTGCGCACGGAGGAGGAAGAAGAAGAGACAGGAGAGGGAGGGACAGAAGGAGATGCAACGGAGAGAGAACATGACGCTATGAAATTCAAAGGAACCTGGCCATCGGCAGATAGCGTTGGTGCCGACTGATCACTGCACGGTTTTCTGGAGTATCAAAACTGTACTGATGTCATTGCTCCAGAGACAATGTTATATTTGCATCCCGGCCAATCAGTATAGAGGTGTCGCACCTCATCGTCCAGTGTGACTTCTCACTGCGAAGCTGTAGGCACATCGACGTCGGTAATTCGCATTCTCGTACAGACCGATTGGCTGCAAGCTCTGAGACCCTTGGCGGTCCACTGCGATGTTGGATTCGGGCTCAAGCGTGCTGCTCATCAGGGTGTTGCCCACAGGGGGGCGATCCATGACGCTTGGCGTGCATAGTTGTTGCGACATTACCTTTGGCGTGCCCGTTGTGGTGCGATCGCCTGCCTGAAGCAAGACCATCTCCTGTCGGTGCATAGACGGAAGCTCAGACCTCATGTCAAGCAACACATAAACAGCGGTGGGTTGCGCATCGACTTGATGTGTTTGCACAAGTGTAGGATCAAAGGCCACAACGTTGTCGACCAGTTGCGCAATCCCGCGTGGTAGGGTTCCATTCGAGAAATGACAGAAACTTCGTCAACGACTTACACAACGTGATCGACCCACGAACCCGGAAAGGAATATGAAAATGTAAGACATGGCAACGTTTCAAAGACACCTGATTGGGCGACGGGCAAATGCAATGGTGAATGTATCGATCTTGATGTACCGTGCCGAGGGCTGTGCTGTGCTGCGCCGTGCTGAATTTCGATGTGCCATGCCGCGAGTATGCTCTATAGCGTTGTGGATCGAGTCCTCCTTTTCATCCGAGTCCTGACCGAACTGATCTGGATCTTAAGCTCGAGCTGCCTGAGCACATCGCAGCTGCCCCAGAGCTAATTCGCAGGGGGGGCATGTTGGGAAGACGCGCCGCGGAAAGTTCCAAGGGACGCGCCAAGCGACGTGCCAGGGGACGTGCCATGGGGACGCACCGCGGGACGTGCCAAGAGGACGCGCTACGGAACATGCCAATGGACGTGCCACAGGACGTGCCAGGGGACGCGCCGCGCGACGTGCCAGAACGTGCCAAGTTGCAATGCTGAATGAGTGTATCGATCTTGATGTACCGTGCCCAAGGCTGTGCTGTGCTGCGCCGTGCTGAACTGCGATGTGCCATGCCGCGATTGTGCTCTATAAGGTTGTGGATCGAGTCCTCCGTTGCATACGAGTCCTGACCGAACTGATCTGGATCTTAAGCTCGAGCTGCCTGAGCACATAGTCCACATAGTAGCTGCCCCAGGGCTAATTGACAGGGGAGCATGCCAGCAAGACGCGCCGCGGCAAGTTCCCAGGCGACATGCCAGGGGACGTGCCACGGGGACGCACCGCGGGGCGTGCCAAGGGGACGCGCTACAGAACGTGCTGGGGACAAGCGTCGTGCTGGTGGCCTGGACACGTAAAACCACGTGGTGCCAGCTCGGGACAACCATGTTAGATACCCCCCTGGGTGGCCTGGACACATAAAAACACGTGGTTCCACTTCGGGACAATCATGTTAGGGATCTCCCTGGGTGGCCTGAGCATGAAAAAAACACGTGGTTCCAGCCCGGGACAGCCATGTTAGATACCCCCCTGCGTGACCTGGATACGCTGAATTCGCGCTCCCGCTCGAGACATCCTCGCAATGTCTTCCCTGGAGAGGCCCCCAAAGCGCAACCCCCCTGTTCACAGCAAGAACACATCACTTTGCTGTATTGGGACATGCGTTCGGGTAGCGCTTTTCGGCCCCCCCTGCGTTTCCTCATAATTCGGCGTTGGGCCCGACGCCATGTTTGATACCCCCCTGGGCAGCCTGGACACGTAAAAACACGTGGTGCCAGTTCGGGACAATCATGTTAGATACCCGACTGGGTGGCCTGGACACGTAAAAGCACATGGTGCCAGCTCTGGGCAGCCATGTTAGATACACCCCTGGGTGGCCTGGACACGTTAAAACACGTGGTGCCAGCTCGGGACAACTATGTTAGATACCCCACTGGGCGGCCTGGACACGTAAAAACGTGGGTGCTAGCTCTGGGCACCCATGTTAGATCAACCCCTCGGTGGCCTGGACAGATTCAAACACGTGGTCCTGGCTCGGGACAACCATGTTAGATGCCCCCATGGGTGGCCTGGACACGTAACAACACGTGGTGCCAGCTCGGGACAACCATGTTAGATACACCCCTTAGTGGCCTGGACACGTTAAAACATGTGGTCCTTGGTCGGGACAATCATGTTGGATACCCCCTCTGGATGGCCAGGACATGTAAAAACACGTGGTTCCAGCTCGGGACAGCCATGTTAGATAACCCCCTGCGTGACCTGGATACGCTGAATTCGCGCTCCCGCTCGAGACATTCTCGCAATGTCTTCCCTGGAGAGGCCCCCAAAGCGCAACCCCTGGAGATATCCCCCCTGGGCGGCCTGGACACATCACATGATGGATCCACGAACCCGGAAAGGGATATAGAACCGCATGCATGGAAACGTTTTCACGACACCGTATTGGGCGACGGGCACTTCCACGAGACACCCCGCGAAACATTCCACGAGACACCCCGCGAAACAGTCCACGAGACACCCCACGAAACATTCCACGACGACAGGCAACCACTCAACCAAGGCGGCGTGGCCGTGCTGGGGAGTGGTCGTGCTGCGGTGTTGTCGTGCTGGGGGGTGGTCGTGCTGGGGGGTGGTCGTGCTGGGAGGGTAGTCGTGCTGGGGGGTGGTCGTGCTGGGGTGGGGTAATGCTGGGGTGTGGTCGTGCTGGGGTTTGGTCGTGCTGGGGTGGGGTCGTGCTGGGGTGGGGTCGTGCTAGGGTGTGGTCGTGCTGAGGTGTGGTCGTGCTGGGGTGTGGTCTGCGGACAAGCGATTCGCTCGAGACATCCTCGGTAACTCTGCGGAGCAAGCGTTTCGCTCGAGACATCCTCAACACACGAAAGAGTGGCCAGCACCCTGTGATTGATCGATCGGGATTTCAAAAAACAAGCGTTTCGCCTGAGGCATCCTCAAACTTTAATCCGCCGGCCCACCTCGACCTCGATATTCATCAGGGAAAGAATCCGCCGGCCCACCTCAGTTGAGGCACCGGGGACAGGTTTACAAACTAAAAGAGAACCCTGGGCCTATGCCCTTTCCGAGAAAAACACGTGGTTCCAGTTCGGGACAATCATGTTAGATACCTCCGTGGGTGGCCTGGACACAGGATCCCTATGTTAGATACCCCCCTGGGTGGCCTGGACACTTGAAAACACACGGTTCCAACGCAAAACCACCATGTTAGATATCCTTCCTGGGTGGCCGGAACATGTAAAAACACGTGGTTCCAGCTCGGGACCACAATGTTAGATACCCCCCTGATGGCCTGCACACGTCCAAACTCACGGTTCCAGCCCACCCAGGGGGGATATCCAACATGCGGTCGTCTGATGCGCCAGCGACGGACAACCATGTTGGATACCCCCCTGGCCGACCTGGGCACGTGAAAACAAGCATTTCGCCTGAGACATCGTTTGAATTCTGGCCCCCCACGAGGCCCCCGCTCGAGACAACCCCCAACTCTGCAAAACCAGCGTTTGGCTCGAGACATTCTCAACAAATTCTGAAAAACAAGCGTTTCGCTCGAGACATCCTCAAAACGATTCCGCCGGCCCACCTCGAACTTGATAATATCAGGAAAAGAATCCGACGGCCCACATCAGTCATGGCACCGGGGACAATTCACAAAACTAAAATAGAAGCCTGGAACGCGCCATTTCCAGGAAAAACGCGGCATTGACGTGACTGATTGGCGCCGCCCCATGGAAATACGCGGATTCGCAAGATGGGCAGGGTCGGCTGTGTCGCGCCTGACCTCGGATACGAAAACCGCCTTCCAGGATGGGGAGGAAGATGACTAGCACACACGCCCTAAGCGCGCAAGCATCCGATGAATCAGACAAGGCGGGAATCTGTCGAGGACGACATTTAAATTTCATCTGGTCGCTGAAATCTACACGATCAGGACGGGGACGCTCGAACAGACGCGATCCGCAGGGACGACGAAGCGCGAATCGTGGACTCTTGCTTGCGACACATCCCGCGACAAATCGGAACCGGGAGGGGGGGGCTCAAAATATGTGGCGCTCCCGGGAATTCAGGAGGGGGGCCCGTCCCTCTAACTGGAGGGGGGGGCTCCAAAGGGAGGGGGGTGGGTCGAACCAGGGGGGGGGGCGGGGCCCTTTTCTTGGGGGAGGGGGATACGAACCAGGGGGGGGGGCCCTCTCCCCCTACGCTCCGCCGGCCAAACATGCCGACGACGGAGGCAACGTCAGCGGCGGCAGCGGCGAAAACGACAACGACAACGACAACGACAACGACGACGACGACGACGACGACGACGACGACGGAAGACGAGGGGCGCAAGACGACTGACGAGAAAACGACGAACGACGAACGCAGAAAGACGAAGGACAAACGACGCGCAGCGACGACTGTGACGACGCGGATGACGGAGGACGGACGACGCAGGACGACGCAGGACGACGACAACTGATGCACGACGACGACGGCCAAGGACGACGACGGGCACCGCCGACGACGAAGTACAACGACGACGACGACGACAACGACCACGACAAAGACAACGCACAACA